TCATTTCTAATTTTATTTCAATCTTCTCTCTTTTTTTTCTTTATTAGTTTTGCTTGCAGTCTTATTTATGCTTTAAAAAAAGACAACTTCTGGTTTCTTTGGTCCTGTTTGTGTTTTTTTTTAACATCTCAATTTCATTAAGTTAAGTATGATTTTGCTTATTTATTCTGCTACCTTTGGGGTTGGTTTGCTATTGTTTCTCTAGTTCCTCTAGGTGTTAAGTTGTTAATTTGAGATCTTTATAATTTTTTGATGTGAGCATTTAGCGCTATAAACTTTCCTCTTAACACTGCTTTAGTTTTGTCCCAGAGGTTCTGGTATGTTGTATCTTTGTTTTCATTTCAAAGAATTTCTTGATTCTGTCTTAATTTCATTGTTCACCCAAATGTCATTCAGGAGCAGGTTTTTGGGTTTCCACATAATTGTACGGTTTTAAGAAATATTCTTGGTGTTAATTTTATTTTTTTTACATGTATCTTTGTCAGCTGTGGTTGATCTGCCTAGGTTGATCTCAACTGGGCTTGGCTTCAACTTGAAGGTTAATTTTGGATCTTCTCCATATGTTTTTCATTCTCTGTTGACCAGAGCTAGCTTGAGAGAGAGAACTGCAAGAATAGCAGATATAAAAACACTCAGGGCCTCTTAAAGCCTAGGTTCATCACTGGCACACTGGCACATCCATACACATATCATTGCTCAAGGAGAGCCACATGGTTAAGTCCAACATCAGTGAGTAGTTAATGTTACTACACCTTTAGGGCAAGAGAATGCCAAGTCATATGACAAAGCAGGTAAAAAGGAATGGTGAAGGCCCAATAATATATTACTCCTTGAACCTTATTTATAATCAAAATTGTTAAAATTGCTGAACATGAGCTTCAGTTATATCATTTTGATGATCACAGTATCTCTTCAATAAAAAAGGCAAGTGGGTCGGGCACACTGGCTCACGCCTATAATCCCAGGACTTTGGGAGGCTGAAGTAGGTGGATCGCTTGAGGTCAGGAGTTCAAGACCAACCTGGCCAACATGGTGAAACCTCATTTCTACTAAAAATACAAAAATTAGCTGAGCATGGTGCCACATGCCTGTAATCCCAAGCTACTCTGGAGGCTGAGGTAGGAGAATCGCTTCAACGGGGAGGCAGATGTTGCAGTGAGCCAAGATCACGCCATTGCGCTCCAGCATGGGCAACAGAGTGAGATGTCATCTCAAAAAAAGAAAAAGGGCAAGTGAGCAAGGCAAGGAAGCAACTTTAAAAATAGTAACATAACCCATTCTTAAAATATTGTCTTAAATATGGCATCTCCATGATGAAAATCCTTCAGCACTTTTCCATTATGTACAGCATAATTTCAAATATCTCAGCTTAAAGAACATTTACCATTTTGCCCCAAACTACACTTTCATCTATGTTTCTACAATCCCTCTTATTGAATGAAGCAAATTCATATCATTCTGCACTTAAACGTTTTCTTTTCTTCAACTTTGCTTATTATTTTATCCACCTGGAAATCTTTCCTTTTTTTTCTATACCTTCTGATTTCTAGGCAGACTAAGATCCCTGATAATCTAAACCAGAGTAATGGTTCAGTTATTTTAATTCCTGTAGAGTTCATAGGTTGGAAATCAGATTTGGTATTCAATTATCAAAGGATTAGCAGGAATTCTTGTGAAGCACTGGCCACATGATTCACTGGAAGTAAGGAGGGGCTGAGCTCATAAGAAGGAAGCAATTGGGAATGAAGCCAAGTCAAGATACAGACATTGGAAAGCACCAAAGTTTATGAAGCAGGCACAAATTAGGTCAAATATGGAGAAGGAAATCCAATCTCCACATTGACAATGCAAAGAAAAGCTGCACTATATCACCAAGCCAGGCTCCTGTGTCCTAGAGTCTAGGACTACTGTGGGCCTAGAGTCCATATGTGACCAGGATAAGACCAAGTAGACCCTTACAACTATCATAACCTGCCCTAATCATCAGTTCTTTCATATTTATGGTTACAGCTAAAACTACATAAATCTTTCTCCACAAATTGACTTCAAGTTCCTGGAAGGCAAGTGTTAGATTTTATATTTTATAAGCCCCAAAACAATAGGATTTTGAGTATGGTCAACTATAAGAGTGCATGATTTATTGATAAGCTTAAATCTATGCTTTTTAAATAGCAAAAGTTATCTTCTTTAAGTGTATTCTTAGCTAAATCTAGCATTAATAAAGAAAGAATAATATGCGCGGGCGGGGCGCGGTGGCTCACGCCTATAATCCCAGCACTTTGGGAGGCCAAGGCGGGTGGATCACGAGGTCAAGAGATCGAGACCATCATGGTCAACATGGTGAAACCCCGTCTTTACTAAAAATACAAAAAAAAAAAAATTAGCTGGGCATGGTGGCGCGTGCCTGTAATCCCAGCTACTCAGGAGGCTGAGGCAGGAGAATTGCCTGAACCGAGGAGGTGGAGGTTGCGGTGAGCCAAGATCACGCCATTGCACTCCAGCCTGCGTAACAAGAGCGAAACTCCGTCTCAAAAGAAAAAAAAAAGAATAATATGCTTAACTAATATACCAAAAGTAAGGACACAGCCAAAATAACTGGATCCAAAAGTAATTTCTAATATTCATGTGAACAATCCAAAAAGATAAGGCAGTATGAAAAATCTATTATTTGGATTGTTCCCACAAAGATTGGGTTACTAGGTTGGTGCAAAAGTGATTGCAGTTTTAAACCATTTTAATAATTTCAACAAATTAGTTTTTAGATAGTTTCAAAAAGCAATCCTATACATATTGTTTTAGGTGTCATTTGGGACTGTTGGGATCACTGTCAAGTATTTCTCAGTTTAAAATAAACTTTTCCTCCACCTAAGCAGTATGAAAGACCAGTGTAGTCATTAAAACTGATGGAGTAAATAATCGGGCCATCAGTGGAAGTAGAGGAAGTACTGAAGATCAGGTCTACTTAAAAAACGAGTATGAGACAATAAGAAACTGATAGCATATTTCAATTATATTTGTAAGTTTTGCAAGCTGCATTATAAAAGTATGATTTTAAATTAGAAGTAGAGAAGAATACATCATACTCTGATGAATAATAGCTGAATTAGCACAACGGTATGCCAACAAACAGGGTCCTACAGAACCATGTAAAGCAAAACTTACGGGCTTAATACCCAGTTCTCACTGACTGCATTCCACCTGTGAGGTATAGTATGAAAATCAGCAAAAAGAAAATGTCACAGAAAAACAAACATCACAGCTGTGCTTCCCAGTAGAAGTGCAAATATGGGAATGAAATGACCCTATGTTATTTTTTCTTTCCATGAGCAAAATTGTCATGGTATTTGAGAAAATCTTGGCAGGTCTTGGGCAGGCAAGTGATAATAACAGCAATAACCACCACAAATGATCAGGTATAATTGCTTTCTGGCAGCTAAAGGCAAGCAAGGAGAACCAGGCCAACAGACCACAATTACACCTGAATAATGGAGCAGGGAAGATCAGGAACACCATTCACTGGAATAATATTAAAGCAAATTAAAACTGCCCTAAGGAGGAGAAAATGACTAGAATAGCCAGAACAGTATGGAATTTTCTGCATTTATTTAGTTTTTACTTTTATTTCTTAAAATCTAGCTATGTTAAATTTTATTCTTATATTATCATTATCAACCACATTAATACCTACAAGTACTTCTGAGTTTGTTTTATGACAGAAAACACATAGTGTAAAGTGTCATTCATTGCATATGGTTTGAAACGTGCGTTTTGAAAAAAAAAGTTGCAAAACAAAGTGTGAATAGACGGAAAAAAGACCGACATCTTCTAAAATAGGAGAAAAATCCATCCGATAATCTAAGTGATTAATCCCATAATTAGACCCCTGAAGTAGTTAACAAATGACCTGTTTGCTAATGACTTTTCAAAGGAATTCCTAGAGAAATCCAAAAGCTCAGTATCATTAGGCAAGGCAGTCTTTCTCTGGTAGAATTTAATTATGTGTTAAGACCTTTTCAAAATATAAAACTATATCCGCTCTTCACTGTGATGCAACTTTATAAAGTTATGACAAATTAAATAATTACTCATCTATATTACTAATTACTTGTAAAGCATCAAGTAGTGTATTTGTTTGTTAAACTCAGGAAATATTTAAGCGTTATCTCCTTGCCAAATCTGGTTCCTAGGCTCCCACTAGTCTGATTCGTTGTTCCTATATAAATGTTCCAAGTTCTTTAGACCTTGTTATAGTTTGCCTTGTTTGTTTTAAAATATTTTGAGTTTAGTTTTGCCTGTAAACCTGCCCAAAGTAATGACTGAGATTAAGTCTTAAAGTGCTCAAAACAGTTGTGTTTAATTTGCTTAACATAAGTAGCATTCTCAGAAGTCCAAGTTCATGATTTAGAATATTTATGCCAACACTTTGGAATGGGTGGGATGCCAATTGCTATATGAGTCTACTTAATTAAAATCAGGAAAGAGATCTATGTTATCATAATCAACTCTAATTGGCACTTTAAAGTATCAAGGCCAATGAATATATAAAACATTTCCTTTAATAAATATCTAGAGACAAATTGTATAATCAGTGTGATTTCTGGGCTAAACTAGATTTATACACAGATAATTTGTAAACATATATATGTGTATATATATGTATGCATGTATGTATATATATGTATGTATATATATGTATGTATATATATATGTATGTGTATATATATATATAGAGAGAGAGAGAGAGAAAGAGAGAGAGAGAGTTAATTTCTCTCAGTCAGCCATAGAAATAAGAGATAGGAAAATTATAGAAATGTCAAATACATCATCGATCGAAATATCTTATTATTTTAAGCTTCTACCCACTAAATTTAATAAGTGGAAACATTTCAAGGTTCTCCTTTTTGCTGTCCAAATGGTGAATGGAATAGGAAAATGAAAAGGAGAACAATTAATATACAGGTAAGATTATCATTTTTTAGATAATTAAAGAATTGCCTGTCAGGACCATTTATTTGATTAATAGTTTAATGACATCCCTTAATCCAAGTACGGAGTCAATGCATCTAATGCATTGAGGAGGCATGTAGCTACATTTGCCCACTACTCGGATACAGGAAAGTCTGAAGTTACTTACATTTCTTTTCTGTAGTAGAGGCAGACTGCTTCCGATGCATGGTTATACCTCAACCACAAGATGGGAATTTAGTTGCTGTAGACAAAAAGAAAGATGAATGTTCACTACAATAAACAACTGAACCATTTTTAATTCAAATGTAAGTTTCATGTAAGTTTATGTATGTTTTATTTAAAAATACTTAATTGATAAATAAAATGTATGCATTCCAGGTGGACAATGTCATGATTTTGTGTACAAATATATTGTATAATGATTACCACAAACTAATTACACATTCATCAGCATCCATAGTTGCCACTGTGTGTGTGTATGCATGTTTGTGTGTGTATGTGTGTGTTTATGTGTGTGTGTGTGTGAGAGAGAGAGAGAGAGAGAGAGAGAGAGAGAGAGAGAGAGACAGAGTTAGACACTTAAAATCTGTTCCTATAATTTGCCACATTTTATACTGTTTAATAAATTTTAAATTTAATTTTAATGACACATTTTCTAATTTGCCACATTTGTTTTATTTCTATTTGCTTTATTTCTTTCTCTCTCTCTCCACACACACATACACAATTTATTTTCAGAACAATTTGAGTGTAGGTTGCACACATTAGGCCCATTTATCTCTTAAAACTTTTTGCACATTCCTAAGAACAAAGATGGACTTTTACACAACCAAAGTACAGCTACCAAGTTTAGGAAATTTAACATTTCTATAAAACTTTTATTTAATTTATTAATCAAATTCCAATGTTGCCAATAGTCCCAAAAGTATCCTTTATAGCATTTTTTTCCTCCAGGCTGGAATCTTGTTTAGGATCTTATACAGCATTTAGTTCTCCTGTCTCGTCAGTCTCTTTTGATCTATAACTATCCTTCTGCTGTTCTTTGTCCCTAATGGCATGGATTTTTTTGAAGAATGTAGGCCATTTGTTTATAAGATATTCCTCAATTTAAGTTTATCTTGCAATTCTTTGTGATCAAATTGTTAAGCATCTCCAGCCAGAATAGTACAAAATTAATGATGTGTTGTTTGCAGTGTAATTTAATCTCTTCTCACTAGACTAGATGTGAGAGTTAAACATCCTCATCATCACCACCCCTTTCCCCCATGTTAGTATCTATTGCACTGGGAGTGGACTGGGTTTCAGAACACAGCAGCAGTTCATTCCAAAGTACTAGTCATGCATATGGGCATTTAAATTAGCCTGGGGGAAAACGTTTTTTGTAAATTCTTCTCAAAGCAACTGATGCCTCATAAACTCTAAACACTGCTTCTATGTTTACTCTAACTATTGGTTTTGCTAGGATTTTAGCTTTATGACTACTTTTTCCTCATTCTTATATACTGTTTGGCTGGTACACCCACAATACAGACTTATTGCTCAACTTTACACCAATGATTCCTAAGTTTATAAATACCTGCTATGATTTCTCTCTTAGCTGAGGCTATTGGAGAACATCTGAAGTTGCCATTGAAGTCCCCAAATCACTTTGCTTAAAACAAGTCATCTTCTTGAACTCAATTTCTTCTTCTTACACTAATTATTTTAACTGACAACACCAAATAATTCTGGACTTTTTTCTTAAGAACCATATCCGGTTAATCAACAACTGTAAGAATGTCTTTCTTTATCTTACCAGTGCACATCTATCTCCAGTTTTTCTTCTTATTTACACTCATAACTTTTTTTTTTTTTTGCGACAAAGTCTTGCTCTATAGCCCAGGCTAGAGTGCAGTGGTATTACCTCAGCTCACTGCAACCTCCAACTCCCGGGGCCTGATTCAAGAAATTCTGCCTCAGCCTCATGAGTAGCTTGGGATTAAAGGCACGTACCACCATGCCCAGCTAATTTTTGTATTTTTAGTAGAGATGGGTTTTTCCATGTTAGCCAGGCTGGTCTTCAACTCCTGACCTCGTGATGTGCCCACTTTGGCCTCCCAAATAGACTCATAACTTCTTACCTCCATTATGATGTAAGAACTGAACTCTGCCTACAACTTTGTCTTTTGCATTCAGTCCAGCACACAGAGTCAGGTTAATCACTGCAGACTACAACTATGATTAAGGCACTTACTACTTTTTATTCATGACTCCTTATTACCTACACAGTACTACTACTTAGCATAGCATAAAACTTAAAATCTTTTCTGTGACTGTATTTCTGGAAGCATTTGTTGTCATTCCTTATTTGTACAGTTTCTTGAATAATACATATTAACTTCCAGCTAACTGTTTTTGTTCGAATCGTTTTCCTTGGCTAAGATCCTCTAGTTTCACTTGTGTGTTCAGTGAATTCTTTCTCACCCTTCAAATTTTAGTTTTCCTCTCACCACCTCCGTAGATTCTCCAAAAGACTTTTCCTAACCCACCCTTTTCTAGCATACATCACCTTACTTTGTTTACTTTTACACCTCTTTTACCAAAATATAAGTTTCTAGAATCCAGGAATCTTGTCTTGTCTTTAGTTCTCAGGGTGCCTAACACTAGTAGATGGTCAATAAAGGCATGCATCTCTTATATGTCGATAATGAAGCATTTAAAAATCTATGGTGATAAGTGGAGAACAATCAATATGAAGCATATCTTTATAGAAATTATTGTGTAAAGGGAAACTTCTCTGTCCCCCCTTCTGGAGTACAGTCGCACAACCTCGGCTCACTGCAACCTCTGCCCCCTGGTTAAAGCGATTCTTCTGCCTTAGCCTCCCAAGTAGCTGGGACTACAGGCGCATGGCACCACGCCTGGCTAATTTTTGTATTTTTAATAGAGACAGGGTTTCACCAATTTGGTTAAGCTGGTTTTGAACTCCTGACCTCATGATCTGTCCACCTTGGCCTCCCAAAGTTCTGGGATTATAGGCATGAGCCACCACGCCCTGCCTGATGTCTCCTTTCAAAATTCAGATTTTATTAAAAAATAAAATTATATTATTTGTTTTGTTTTTCTTAAACTTATTGTACCAGAGTTTACTTTACCTATGTGGAGATTTATCCTGTTCACATTGCATTACACGCCATGTTTCAGAACTTTTTTCCAAGGTAGCATAAATTGCACGAAATTGCAAAATGTGTGTTCTTTTTGATTCCCTATATAGATCTTAAAATGTGCTGGTACATTTGGACTTCTGCTTTATGAAAATTTACTTTGGCTCTTTCACAGTCTGTCTTCCTACTCTCACCCAGCTTCTTTCCAGATTAAGTAATTTTCATCATTTCATCTACTGACCTTCATTATTGATCTGGTTATATTATGCTATGCTGTGGTAACAAACCCCAAAATACCTTTTGCTTAATGTAGAAAACTGTATTTCTTTTACATGCAAAGTGTACTTTTTTATGAGTTTAGTGAATCTCTCCTCTGGGAAGTGGCTCTAGGATCCAGTGTTCTAACTTAAGACCCTGCCATCTCATCTCAACATGTGGCTTTATGGTTTTGCACAACAGAGGAAGAGAGACCGTGGAGAATTCACACACCATACTCCCTTTGATAATTCACTAAAAACTACTCACATGGCTCTTTCATACTGTAAGGGGTCCTGGGAAATGTAATTCTTGTATATGGGTGTCTCAACCATGTCTTGTTTTCCCTTCACAGTGTCTCAGGAGAGACAGTACTCAGGAGCTACCCAAGTCAGACACTTGTTTTTCTGGTTGCAGCTTTTACCTAATACCCTACCCAACTCCTGATTTGCCTGTAAGAGTTTTATTGTGTGTCAGGTTTTGTTTTTAATTTTTAAGTATATCATAGATGTTGCTGAAGGAAGGTTCCATGTCCTAGCTTCTTGTGGTATCATAACCTAGAATTGATGGCTTGCCTTTAGGAGAGGACCATACAATTCCACAATTGCACAGTGTCACTTTTTCATCTTATGTTACAATCTAGGCATGTAGGATTTCAGGAAAGGATTTTATATAACCAATAGCTCCTCTTATGCTGTTCGATATTTTTATTATTTGCTAAAGCATAGAACACAACCAAATGTAAAACATATTCACATAATATAATTAGATAGAACTATAACTAGGCCAGGTGTGGTGGCTCACACCTGTAATCCCAGCACTTTGGGAGGCTGAGGAAGGCTGATCACCTATGGTCAGAAGTTCAAGACCAGCCTGGCCAACATGGTGAAACGCTTTCTGTACTAAAAATACAAAAATTAGCTAGACATGATGGCATATGCCTGTAATCCCAGCTACTCAGGAGGCTGAGGCAGGAGAATTGCTTGATCCTGGGAGGTGGAGATTGCAGTGAGCTGAGATTGTGCCACTGCACTCCAGGCTGGGTGACAGAGTGAGATTCCATCTCAAAAAAGAAAAGAAAAGAAAAGAACTATAACTAGTTGTATATGTACATATATAGTCATACATATACATGCAGTATATATCATGTATATTTACAGACACTATATATAACTATTTTAACATAGCTTTGTAATGTTTTTTATAGAAATTTTACTCAGAAATTTGCATAAGTATGCTGCATATGCTCCAATGTATATCTTACATATCTATCTATATGAATCTCATATATATATATATATATATGAATCTATCTATCATCTATCTGTCTCCCTATATAAATTAAGAATGTGTAGGTGATGGGTATAGTGAAGGGAAAGCATTATTCTTGTGTGTAAAATTTTATTCTGAAATATCACAGTGGAATAGAAGACCTAAAACGATGTGATATAGTGTTTATCCTGAGCTTTGTCATATTTCTTGGCACAACTCAAAATTTAACATACTTTACCAAGGGAGAAAAGCTTTACTGAATCACCACTTCATTTCGTATTTAGACTTTTCCTGATACAGAAAATAATGTTCTATACTTAGTCTCTTGAAATATATAAATATCACCTTATTCTTTTAATAAGAACAAGAGGCTTGCATTTCCTATTAAATCTATACCATAATACCACTTATACAAATAAGAGACATCTTATTTCTCTATTCACTTATTTTTTTTCTTTATTAATAGGATCCCAGGCAATGTTTTCACACATTTTTTATCCTCTTACAGGTAGAGATGGTCAATAAGAAGACGCAGAAGTTCATGGGACTTCCTGGACAATGCTTCATGATT